GGTACGAAATTTCAATCCGTGATTTCATCTACACAATTAACCTTCATAACCAGGTAAAAGTGAAGAAAGATTGTTACTCACAGAACGCAAGTCCCAACCAGGTGACTTTCCATATGCTGATAACCTCCGAATTCTCTCTTTCTTCACCTCCCAGAGTTCACCAGACAAAGCATCACTTGGTTTTGGGATGCAACCATTTATCACCTATAATAGGGCGTTGCATACTCCAGTCAGAAGGTCTTCAAGTAAAATGAAGAAGCAAAAGAAAAAGTCACCACCTTTGGTTCCGCATTCTGCAAATCCTGTCCAGCTCCTTTCAGATGAAGTCCAGGGGGAGTCTGTCCCTTTGCTGCTGCTGCCTACAAAAGGCAGAATATTAAATCTATCAGTGAAGTACCGAGTTTCATATGCCTATTTGGTGGCTTGGAATACACATAACACAATAGAACCAAACAGGTCATCCAGATAGATATTTCATAAGAAATACGATGGACATACATGCTGTCTTTCGACAATTGTTCTTCCTAATTAAATAGAAGAAATATAAACATGGAACTGATAGTGACCAAGAAATCAGTAATAGAGATAATGCAAACACTCTAGCTAAAGTTAAAGGCTTTCAGTGTGCAACAAAAAAAAGATGAAACAGTGAAAGTCGATCCAAAACTTGAATTGAATTATAACATACACCACACCCGTTTTCTATTATTTCCATTTTTGATGCAGCTCAATTCGACTTCAATTCAATTTATTACGCCAAATATGTGAATTATCAGAGACAACATCATATTACTTGTATAGGACTAACTGTCAACATCAAATAAAAAATATAAACATAAATAAAATATAACTGCCAACAGCATATTCAATTCAAATATGTGACATGTGAAATCATTGATAAGTTATCTTGACATGAGCACAATAAAAAAACGAGAACCACGTACAAATTCTCAAAAGATCTGATCCAATTATAAACAACCAAATGAACGGAACATATAACAATACATTTCACTTACAGGCCCACCTTTACTTCCTCAATGGCAATTGTGCTTGGAACACGACGATGATCTTTTGGACGTGATGGCTCTTGATCTTCTACATCTTCCATGTTAATCCCCGGGACTGCAGATAAATTAACTGTAATCCATTCCAAAGTTCGATCGTTATCTGTGGTTGACTTGCTAGCCAGATTTTCATGATTTACTGTAGCTTGTTGGGTCTTCCATTCTGAGTCAATCTCCTGACTAGCCTCTGAGTGGTCAACCAACTTATTTTCAATTGAGAAACGAACATCGACAAATTTTACTTTTGCCTCCCATAACTTAGCCATTGCTTGATCAATAGCCTGGGAGGTAGACTTTAACATCCCATCAGCATCATAACTATAAATGTCATTTTTACTCCATAGAGGATATGCCCATGGAGGAGGCTTTGGCAATTGTGCGTCTCCATTGGCCAACGGAATTCCTCTGCTAGAGAGCTTTTGAGCATCAGAAGATGCCTTTGTATGACTGAAAAAGAAAATCATACCAAAGATGAATGCAACATCACAACCTATACTCATCTACAGGACATACCAAATGATCATAGTCATCAATTGCTAAATAAATCTAAGTCAAACAAGTCCTTAGAAGCACCAACTATAACATCTAAAAGACTCACTGAAACTTGATTTGCATGATCGCATTCTGACAATTAAAGATAATTTCAAGTAGCCTTTTCCAAAGTCTCACATACCTGGGTGTTTCACATTTTAAAACCTCAACGCATATTAGGTAAGGTGCCTTCTCCCTGGAGTTAAGGAGAACAGCTTCGTCTTCAGGTATATGAACCACCCGATACATTCCCTTTCCCATTGGAAAGCACACTCCTATAATGATATATGAGCCCATTACATATTGTTAGAAGTAAAAAAGACTGAATGGAACAGCCATTACCTTAGGCTACACAAATTCCGAACCAAGGAAAAGAAATCTAGCAACAAATATCAAGCAATATCTCTCATAATCTTATGAAGTAGATATTATATTTAAATAAAATTAAGAGTAAGACTAAAATACATCAGAACCGGACTTAAAGCAAATAAACATTCTGGTACACCTTTTAAAAACTTGTCAAATATCTTCCGTCAGGCATATCATGTTACTCCAACTTGTAGGAGAGGATATAATCAGTTGGGACTAGGATACAACAATTAATGAATAAGAAAGTTGAATTATGAAGCAAGATTTATTTAATTTCTGATATTATTGACAACAATACAAAAATTTTCAATCTATTAGAGCAAGTTTGTAAGCAGTACTCTGCTGGATAAACATGTTGAAGGTGCTTAGTAACTTAGTAGCACATGCCATACAATTTTTTAAGCATATAGAACTATTTCATAAAGTATTGCTATGGTACATAATCTCTATTCATAATTCAAGAAAGTATTTGCTACTTTATGGGTGAGATCAAATTTGCAAAAACAATTATTCATTGCACACCTAAGCTTTTTCTTAAATAATAGAGAAGTGGAATGGCATTTATGCCATCAAAGCAGAAGCATGGGTCATTTGAAATGATGGAGCAGAGAAAGTCAAAAAGGTAAGAAAAGACTCCCTTTCAGGAAAGAAGGAAAGGATAAAAGAATGGAAGTCAGCCCCCATCCCAAGCTCCTGGTAGCTTCGGTATAGGGTGCCTCTAGCTACCACCATCAAGAGAGAACCACATCACTCTAAGATGGTGGTTGACAACCGGGCCAGAATCTCTGGGGACTCTGAAGCAGGTATTTCAGACGGAGATTTGGCCAAAGGAGGCTTGATCTCAGCACTAGTCACCAGAATCACAAGTAAAGATGTAGGATATTCAAAGGAAGAGAGGAAACATTATTGGCACTTGCTGAGGTGCAAAGAGGGATAGGAGGATATTAATGAAACCAAAATAACAAGATTCAGGGAGGAAAAGGAGACTAACAAAGCTAGTATGTTATCATTTACAGCCATGAATAACCAAATTTATTGGCATATTTTCTGTAGCATTCTCTTGAAAAGATGGCTGAAATATAACCCCAAGTTCAATGCATCATTGTAAATCCCTTTTTTGATTAATCTGCACACAAACTATCATTCACAGGGAAACAAAATTCAATTCCCAGAGCTTTATCACAATTTCCAACATGGCTCCAGAATGGACCACAAACATATATAAAAACATCTAAGCATGACATTATGCATAACATGATAGGAGATATCTCCACCATATAACAAAAACTCACCAATGACATTGAATCAATTGTCAATGACATTTGAAACTCACCAAGAGATATCTCCAGAATGGAACTAATATATAAAAATACTGAATATATTAGCTTATTAGAAACACATAATACTCTTCAAAATGCAATAACTGCAACAGTTTCATAACCAACAAGAACTCCTCAGTCCTTGTGTCAGCCAAAGATGGACAAATACTTGCCATTATGCATCTATATGGATCAAAATAAGAATATGGTAAGTGTAAAAACTAAAAAAACAAGTTTCAAATCCCTTAATGCACTTCACACTTCATGTAAAGCAAAACTATCTACACCACAACCATCCCTTGGCTTGATCAGATTATAAAAAGCTGCCAAATCTTTTCCCCTGTAACATGTTGAACAGCAACTGTTGATTGATACAAATAAAATGCAAATACATAGGCAGTACAAGCAGATTATATGTAAAAACAGCAATTATGAATCATACTTTTAACGACAGATAAATCATGTTAAATATCAAACCCAAGAAATATTCAAGGTTCAAACCTATAGAATATGAATGTAAAATGTACACACACAAAGATCCTACAAGATGAGCCACAAAAAAAAGAGAAAACGTTTGAGGAAGGCAAGCACCTCCATCCTTTTGGGCCTCAGCAATATGAGAATTGATCTCGGTGAGAGTCTGAAAGAAAAATAATGAAAAAAGAAAGTATTCAGAAGTCAAATTAAGAAAAGGTTGTCTATAGAGAGTAAATGTGAATATCATTAGAAAGTGATTCAACCTCTCGAAGTGCAATTTTGCGATCTTCAATGGGATAGATGTCCACCAGGCCGTATGATGTCTCACATAATGACTGAACAAATTCCAATGAAGCATGGTAAGAACCTTTCCGAATTTCTGATATCACATTATTAGGTAAAGGTGGTTTTCCATATGACTTTTCATTCTGCTGTCTTGGTGACCCAGGACATTTCTGCAATGCATAAAAGTTAACTTCTATACATCAGCCAACATGTCCTTTAAGAACATATCTATATGAAAGCTAGCAAGAAAAAATGTTATATCAATACACATTGGAGCAGATCAGCTAATATGTAAGTTTGCTGATTATTAGACAAGCAGAAGTACGGATCATGTGGACCATGATCATGCTGTAGTTTAGCACTTCAAGATAAGGTACCAACACGTATAAAATATCTTAAGAGAGAATCAACAAAAACTGCTGCCATGATAACAATAACAAAGTCCAGTACAGGCACCCAAATTAACCGTTTGAGTTATATGAACATCAAGGACTAAATGACTAGCACTGGATGTCAAAAACAATTGAACATTATTCTTCACAGTATGCTTTCTTAACAAACCAAATCCATGTACCAACCTCAGCAAAGTTGCTTCATATCAAAAAGAATCTGATGGATTCAAAATATTCGCATCAAATTTTTCATCTTTTGAAGATTAACAAATGCTCTTGGTCTCAAACTAAGAGTAAAGAAAGGATATGCATATCAGCTCCACAGATTATGCATATTTATTCAAAATATTATTAAATGTATTAAGAATTTCTTTTTTGGAAGAAAATGGACTAAATGTTTATCTCATAAAGGGTAGATATTATGAAAACCATAAAGGATAAATTTATATTTCACGGTAAACAAAACAAAAGTTAGCATAATTGCCGAAATATTGGTTTCCAAAATACAATAGAAAGTAACTCAAAAAAATGATGCAACGCCTCACCCTTACAGTTAAGCCACTCATTATGAGATGACAACAATGGGAACACATTATCAAAAAATTGGGAGTCGAAGCTTGCAGAGTTTAGGTAGATTAATCAGAAAAGCAAGAGAGACATCCAGAATGAAACTAAATAATTTAACATTTGCACCAAACAAACAACTTGTCTAGAAGCTTAATGTATTAAATTTAAGTCAAAATAAACCCAACTCTTACATCCTTCTGGATCTTCGCGCCAAGTAACTCGGAATCTTCTATAGATCGATCTCGGTCTCGAAACAACCGCCGGAAGAAATTCTCTGCACCAGGACTGTTCTCAAGGGTACCATTGTCATTGGTACTTGAAGACTTTGACTCTTCAGGATGAACCCTGAACAACCTACGAAATGACAAAATTTCTGAAGTCTCTTCCCCCTCAAAAACCTCGCTACCCTTACTATCTTCCTCATTTCTATCATGGCCTTCAACTTTCTTGTCCTCATGCTTGTCCTTGAAAAGCCTATGAAAGAAACCCTCCTTTTCCACTTCCTCTATGCTTCTGTTACATTTATCATTTTCGTGCTTATCATGTCCAACAGCCTTTTTTTCTTCATTCTTGTCCTTGAAAAGCCTGCGAAAAATACCGTCATCCTCGATACTTTTCTTGGACTTGTCCTCTTCATCCCTATTATGCCCACCATCCTTTTTTTCTTCACTCTTTTCTTTGAAAAACCTATGGAAGAACCTATCTTTATCATCTTCCTCAGGACTCCTATTGACCTTTACCCCCTCTTCGCTCTTATCATGCCCACTCTCTTTTTTTTCTTCATTCTTATCCTTAAAAATCCTACGGAAAAAACCATCTTTTTCTTCCTCAATACTCCCATTAGCCTTGTCTTTCTGCTCATTTCTCTCGTAGACATTATCTTTTCTTCCTTCATGCTTCTCTTTGAAAAGCCTATGAAAGAAATTCTCCTTCTCATCGACCTCAATATTGTCACTGGCCTTATCTTCCCCCTCATTCTTATCATGCCCACCGTCTTTCTTCTCCTCACTCTTGTCTTTGAAAATCCTCCGAAAGAACCCCTCCTTCTCCTTCTCATCATCCTCGCCTAACTTCTCTTCTTTATCACGAAACAACCTCTTGAGAAAACCCTCTGAGCTTGCAGTCAGCTCATCTTCTTCATCCTTGCTATCTCTGAGAAGTCTCCGAAAGAATCCATCTTTATCTGCATCCTCCTCCTTGCCCTTGCTATCCCTAAGAAGACTTCTTAAAAACCCCTCCTTTTCTGGCTCGTCCTCCCCGTCCCTTTCCAAGGACTTCCTAAAGAGCAATGCATCTCGTACTTTTGGCCCTGGGATCAGTTTCTTTAAAAGCTTGTTTTCCTCTGAAGACAGCAAGCCCTTGTTGTTACCATCATTGCCGTTGTTGCCTCGGCTGGCCTCATCGCCCAAGGGACTAGAGCCCAATGTTGACGATGATGCCAGTGACAACAGCTTCTGCTTGGAGGATAGTAACCGATTAAGCACCGGGTTGCTCTTGGGGCTGGATGGAGTGCTAGGTGGGGGAGGTGGCGGCCGGACCAGCGGTGGCCACTCGCCCATTAGTGTGGCAGCGATCTGACACTTCTCCTGGATCCGGCTGATCCCCTCACTGTCCTCAGAGTCCTCGAGCTCCGCCATGAGGAACCAGTGGACCTTAAGGGCGATCCGGAGGGCCTTAGAGCACGTATCAATGACGAATTTGTCAAGGGAAGGGCTCGGCTTGTAAATAAGCATGTAACAGATCTGGAAGAGGTAGCTCTCAATTCCCGGAAGGGGGAGGGTGTACATCCTGTTGCAGAGGTAATCCCGGACGCCATCGTGGTCGTGCTTGTAGAGATAGCTCACGGCGATCCACTCGCAGAAGAAGGCCGAATCAAAGAACCGGATCAGCCACCCCTTCTCCCCGCCACCGCCGCCGCTTCCCTCCCCGGAGACGGGCCCCGTCCGGGTTATCTCGCGGGGGGACGGATCGAGCCCGAAGCTCCTCAATCCCAGCAGCCGCACCATCGTCAATCCGCCATGGGACACGAAACCCTAGGCGGAGCTTCCAATCGAACCAAAGATTCGGAACCCTAGGGCAGTACCCGATCAGAATCGCAGCAAAAACCCTAGAATCCGAGGGAGCAAACCCCAGCTAGGGTTCTCAAGGTCGGAAGACGGATCAAAATTATGAACGAAATCGAGCAACAAGAGGCGAAATGCGGAAGGGAATCTACGAATAGCGACGAAATCATCCAAGAAACCGCGGCATCAACGGGGAGAGAAGCGAGTCGAATTCGAATCGGGCAGTTCCACGACTTGGCCCTTTTCCTGCGCTTGGATTCGCCTCCTCATCACGTATATATCTTCTCCTCTTCGCTCCGGCATCGTAGTCGACGATGCGAGAAAGAGAGAGAGAGGGGGGGAAGAGCCGCAGGTGGGGTAACGTGCGATCTCTACCTCAGTAGAAGCACCCATGGTTTCTTACACTCCGTCTCAGATATCTCCACGTGGCCCATGTTCATTATTTTAGTGCGAATAATGTAGTCAGGTGCGACTCGGTTTGCAGCGGATCGGTTCAGGAAAGTCGTCCGTGGGATTCGATGCCAAGACAAATCGATGGTAAATCTTAGAATAGAGCAGGATGAATCTTGGTCGTCGGTAGGCTGTGTAGCCGAAGGAGGGACAAGTGCATGAGTTGATGAGCCTTCTTCATTCCCTTGGATTGAGGGCAATACGCAACTATATTTCCTTGCAAGAAAAGACATTTGTGGGGGCATTTCCATTGCTGGGATGCTTGTGAAGTCAATCTGTTTGAACTTACCTCCATCGATTAATCTAACCAAAAACCATCGTTATTTGATCAAATCATTATCTAATATCATAAATATATGATGCTATAATTTAAAGAATTTAAAACTATTCCGAGGACTATATCTTACTCTTACATCCATTATCTATTATTATTATTTTTTTTTTTTTTTATCAATGAGACACTTGAACTTGAGTTCAGATATAGTGTCATCTCATACCCGAAAATATCATATTAGTATGATATTAAAGAAAAATATTTTGATATTATTTAAAAAAATTTAATCCATAATGATTATTAATTAAAATCAACATTCCATAATATAAACATTTCTTGTTATGTTTTCATTCTAAATTTATTAATATTATTTGAATATTTTAATTTATGACTCTCGTTACGGTGATAAGCCAAAACTAAGTTAATCATCAAAGTGATGTTACCGAATATACTTTCGATATCGTCTTTTATAAAATTAACTAAAATAAGATGTAGGATATGGATATTTTTTATCCTTGAACTGAAATTACTCTTACATCCATCACCTATTAATTTATTTTTATTTTTATTTTTTCAATCGAGATAAGACTTGAGACACTTGAACTAGATTTCAGATATAGTGTCATCTCAGACCCGAAAATATCGTATTAGTATGATATTAAAGAAAAATATTTTGATATTATTTAAATATTTGAACCGACAATGATTATTAATTAAAATCAACATTGCATAATATAGATATTTCTTATTATGTTTTCATTCTAAATTTATTAATATTATCTGAATATTTTAATTTATGACTCTTTTTCACTCGTGACAAGTCAAAACTAAGTTAACCGTAAAAGTGATGTTATCATATATACTTTCGATATCGTCTTTTATAAAATTAACTAAAATAAAATGTAGGATATGGATATTTTTTATCCTTAAACTGAAATTACTCTTTCATCTATCACCTCTTAATTTATTATTATTATTATTATTATTATCAATCGAGACCCTTGAACTTGAGTTTAGATATAATGTCATCTCAGACCCGAAAATATCGTATTAGTATGATATTAAAGAAAAATATTCTGATATTATTTAAAATTTTTGAATCGATAATGATTATTAATTAAAATCAACATTGCATAATATAGACATTTCTTATTATGTTTTCATTCTAAATTTATTAATATTATCTGAATATTTTAATTTATGACTCTTTTTCACTAATGACAAGCCAAAACTAAGTTAACCATCAAAGTAATGTTACCAGATATATTTTTGATATCGTCTTTTATAAAATTAACTAAAATAAGTATGGGTATTTTTTATCTTTAAACTGAGATAATATATGAAATATTAAAAATTAACTTTTTCTACCACTATTGAAGTGAGATATAAAATATGTAAATATTTTTTTATACTCAAGAAAATTTGGCATGTTAGACCCATCAAAATTCTTTTCCTCTTCTCTTCTGAACAATATTGAAAGAATGGACAGATACTTCCAAACATGATGACATAGATATTATCAATCTTATCATGTTGAGTTGATAATCAAAATTAGTCTCTTAAATATTATCTAATCATTTTTATTTTTTTTAAGAAGAGGTGTTCTTATTCAAAGTTGAAAATAGATGCCATTTCAGTTCTGGAATTTGAAAGATAACTTTGTTTGTTGCACACCAGAGTGATGAAAAAGTGATAGATTTTGATGTAGGTATATTTGACAAGAGGATGCATGAGTTCTACCAAACTAATAAATGTTGGAGCACTGATAACACAAAAGAGATCCATCTGTCTCTTTTATGTAAATATAAATACATATATCATATTTTTATTTTCAGAAGATCAAGCTATCTCACAGGAGACAATAAAAAAGGCAATTACCAAAGGAGAACAGCATGGGAAGGAAACTTGCAAAAATGAAGGTAGAATGAAAAGGAAATTACTGAGTTCAGCTGTTGTCAGTGTGGAGAGCAGCATGCTTTATTTCCATTCTAAATAGTGCCACCTCCATCCATGGCAATGAGATGCTTCCCCATGCTCTCCCATATTGGAGAAGATATAATTAATGTCCCAGTGGATCCATCATATTTCAAGAATGTTGAGTTTATTATACACTCTGTGTTCTCATCCATCATTGAAAAGGATCCAATACCCCTTGAATATGATGTTTACTACAATTTCAGGGATCCCAAATGATTGGTTTACTGAGTAAATCTTATCATTTTTAGATTTGTTTAATTTTAACTATTTTGCTTGTTTTTCAATTCAAAAATAGTATTGAATAATTAATATCTTAATTTAATTCTATAAAGACTTGAATGAACTTTATAAGATAACTCCTCTTATCATCCATTCGAGTCTAAGCATTTTGAAAAAAAAAAATTTAACTCAATAAATTAATCGGGTCCTAATAAATGGTATAAAAATCAACTATGATGAATAGCTCAAGTAGAAAATAAGATGAGTGTAGTATTGGTAACTTGAGTTCAAAAATTTTGGATTAGAGTTTCAAAATATTACAACTTAGTAATTCATTTATATTCCAAAGTTATGCATCAAAATTTTATATTTATCTTTCATATCAAAATTCTCAAGATCTTTCATTAGATTGTTGATAGGCCCCTTTCTCTTTCAAATGGTTTGAGATTATGGTATGTCATATTAATGAAACAAGAACTCTCCTTGATTGAGAATTACATGAGAAGTACTAGTTCATAGTTTTATGGATTAAAGTGACATTAATTCAAGTAACAAGAACAATGTCATACTCTTTCCCATACTAGCCATTATGCTTGTTGCAAATGTCACTTTTGATGGGCACACTATGAACAATCTTTGGTGGGTGTACAAATTTACCTACATTTTGTACAATTCCTTTTGTATAATTTTGGGATCATAGGTTTTTTCTCTTGGAAAAGAAAAAAGAACAATGCAAGTGGGCCATTTCCCCAAAAGTATCAAATAAGTTAGAAGGAGAAAGCAGTGAGGGCAAAGACCAACAACATATCCCAAGCACAGCCACAATTGAACCTTTTTTTTTTGGTGGCTTTGCCACATTAATAGCTGCACCAACACACCTACATAAGCAACAACTGAACTCAACTGTGATACTTCCATGTCTTGTCAGAAGAGAGAAGTTATGGTCATTGAACTTGTTTGGCTGCAATGTTCTTGTAATCTGTGGCCTGTGTTCAATAACTGTGATCATTGTTCTTTAGTGTATTAAAGAATTATGCCAACAAAGTTGAGCATATCCATTATGTGACACACAAACTTAGGTGGGAGACATGATCTGCCTTCATCCATCTAATAAAATAATATTTTCAGTTTGATACGATTCAAAACCTTTTCCAACAGGAGAATGAAATATTTTTTATTTGAAACTGGATTAGGTTGTTACGTCTTTTATAAGTCACGTTTGACTAAATATTACATTGTGTGGGTGAATATTGATGTTTGAGAAAAGATTGAAATGAAGAGTAAGAGAATAGTTTCACAATAGTAAAAATCGAGAGATTACGCTGATATATATTAAGTTTGATCCGTAAATAAACTTAGGTTTTTGGATTGAATTGATACATAAACTTATATACGTTGACTTTGATTAATTTGACTCAGACTCATCGTCCATTTCTCTCATATCATCATAGTCAAACTTCATAGGGAAAAAACAAAATCAGTTAAAAAGATTCGAAAGAAAAGTTAAATGTTGGCTGTAGTCACATGAATAGGAAGAGAAAAGATTAATTAGAAGATCGATCTACCCTTATAAATAAGGGGGGAAGTCAAACATAAATACGAGGAGATACTAGGAAATATTGAAGAGATTTACAAGAAACTAAAAAGTAATTTTAAATTGATAAAAATTGAAAGAGTTGGAATGGATTTAGTCCACATCCAAATAAGTTTAAGCTTTTGAGTCCACTTAATATCTAAATTAATATGTATTAAGCATGATCATTAATTTTGTTAGGATCAAGTCGGCACTTAAAGGGGGGTGAATTAGTACGTTTGTAAAAATCACGTTGAGTCAAAAATCTTCGTACGATAAAATTTGTTTTGATAATGTTTAACTTTGAAAATGTTCGTAAGAGTATGCAGTAGAAACGAAGAAGTAAAGCAGTTGCAAAGTATGTAAATGACAACAATAAAAATACAAACCGAGTTTATAGTGATTCAGTCATCGTGATCTACGTCCACTCCCGATTACTCTTCCGTCGAGGCTATCGGCATCTATTAACGATCTTCCTTCAATGGGCGAAGACCAACTACCCTTACAACTCTATTCTTCTTTTAATAGGGCTAAGAGAGAACCTTTTATATCCCCACTCACTCCTCTCTAAACAAAAATCACACTTAGATGAGAGAATGAGAACTCTCACAACATTGCAACAGAATTTTCCTTTATTTTTGTTCTTAGTTCTTGTGTCATATGGGCAAGGATGAGAGGGGTATTTATAGGCCCTAAATGGATTCAAACTTGGAGCCTAAAAGTGTCTCATCCCCGATTTTTGGGGTACCGTATGTGTTGGGCGGTACCACCGCTTGCAGCACTGACACTAGACGGTATTATCACCTATTATGGCGATACCAATGCCTGATATAATCTGGAAGACTATGTCCGG